AAACACGTATTGCAACGAATTTGTACACAATTATGAATTTATCATGTTTATTGGAGTTTCCATAACACATGTATTGGTCGAACACGTGCTAATTCTGTGTTTATGTAGACCGTCAATTTGATTGGCTATTATATTTATAGAATACCTGTTCTTTGTATGACAATCAACGTTCTAAAGATAGCTCAAAACGTTCCATTCAAACGGGAAATTTTACCACTTCAATGTCTTTCATTGTACCTGTACTACAGGTATTCGAATGAACCACTTGACCGATTTTTCCTTTCTAAAGAAATGGGCGTGTCATTGTATGACAATCAACGTTCTAAAGATAGCTGAAAACATTCCATTCAAACGGGAAATTTTACCACTTCAATGTCGTTCATTGTACCTGTACTACAGGTATTCGAATGAACCACTTGACCGATTTTTCCTTTCTAAAGAAATGGGCGTGTCATTGTATGACAATCAACGTTCTAAAGATAGCTGAAAACATTCCATTCAAACGGAAAATTTTACCACTTCAGTGCGCTTCATTGTATAATGTCATGTATGATAACCAAATTTCATACAAGTCCACATGCCTGTGATATATCAGTAATTCAGTATCTCACTCTCTCTCTCCCTTATGGTTTAAGACCATTTTGTATCGGGTAATCAAGCCAGGATCCAAGCCTCGGATTTTTTTCTGGGGGGAGGGTGGATGGATTCTGCATAAGTAAATATTATATCCAAACCATAAATTTGTTGACGAGCAAAAACAAACAAACGAACCAAAAAAATATGTACACTCCGTTCAAAGGGGAAAAACTCATTCCGTAGAGGGGTGGGTCGGACTGCTTTCACTTCTTAATAAGCTTCAAAAGTAATATTCCTCCTCAAATTTTTAAGCATTTGATTACTAACTCGGTATTTTTTTTTTTGGAGGGGGGGGGGGGGGGTCCGCGCATGGAAATAACACATCGTTTATGAAGTTTTTTTTATATTGATTAGATGAAACTACAATGAAGCGCATTGAAGTGGTTAAATTTTCTGTTTGGATGAAACGTTCTGAGTCATGTTTTGAACGTCAATTATAACATAATGACAAGCCCATTTCTTTAGAAACGAATAAGAAATATTCGTCGAAATGTTTAGGACACTCCACTCTTCGTGACAAACAACATAAGTTACACCGAAATGGAGATTTTTAAAGTTATCAGAGAGAGTTAGATACAATGAAGCGCATTGAAGTGGTAAAATTTTCCATTTGGATGAAACGTTCTGAGTCATGTTTTGAACGTCAATTATAACATAATGACACACCCATTTCTTGAGAAACGAGAAAGAAATATTCGTCGTAATGTTTTAGGACACCCCACTTTCCGCGACAAGCAACATGAGTTTCACTGAAATGAACATTTTCAAATAAGAAAGAGGTATATATAGAGTCCTCGCTTCTGTAAAACATGCATTGCAACGAATTTGTACATAATTATGATTTTTTCATGTTTATTGGAGTTAGCATAACACATGTATCAGTCGAACACGTGCTTACTCGGTGTTTATGTAGACCGTCAATTTGATTGGCTATCATATTTATAGAATACCTGTTCTACAGGTATTCGATTGAATCATTTGACCGATTTTTCCTTTCTAAAGAAATGGGCGTGTCTAAAGATCGCTCAAAACGTTCCATCCAAACGGAAAATTTTACCACTTCAATGCGCTTCATTGTAGTTCCTGCTTCTGTAAAGCACGTATTTTAAAGAATTTGTCAATAATTATTAATTTTTCATGTTTATTGGAGTTACCATAGCACATTATCGGTCGAACACGTGCTTACTCGGTGTTTATGTAGACCGTCAATTTGATTGGTTATTATATTTATGGAATACCTGTTCCACAGGTATTCGAATGAACTATTTGACCAATTTTTCCTTTCTAAAGAAATGGGCGTATCATTGTATGACAATCATCGTTCTAAAGATAGCTCAAAACGTTCCAATCAAACGGGAAATTTTACCACTTCAATGCGCTTCATTGTATTATTCTTTTAGAGAATAACCGGGAATTATAAGCATCGCTTATGGAACGCCATCACTGCCTTATAGCATATAACTATGCATTTATAATGTCAATTTATCATTACGTGATGTGAACATATCTTTACGTTCTGTCATTTTTTATGAGATGATGTAAAAATATTTTAACATCATGTCAATGCTGCATTACATGAAGTAAATACATCCTTTCATTATGTCAGCACTTCTTAACTTCATAACTTGAAGTAAAAAATCCATTATGTGAAGTGATAATGTGTTTACTTAAACAATAAAATGCTATAAGGTAGTGATGGCATTCTCTTACACATTACCGTAAAACAGTATATACAATGAAGTGCATTGAAGTGGTAAAATTTTCCGTTTGGATGAAACGTTCTGAGTCATATTTTGAACGTCAGTTATAACAAAATGACACGCCAACTTCTTTAGAAACGAACAAGAAATACAACAGTAATTGTAATGGTGGGACACCCCACTCTTTGCGACAAGCAACACGAGTTACACCGAAATGGGGATTTTTAAAGTTATAAGAGAGATTTAGAGAGGTCCATCTTTTGTAAAACACGTATTGCATCGAATTCGTACATAATTATGAATTTATCATGTTTATTGGAGTTTCAATAACGCATGTATTTGTCGAACACGTGCTTACTCTGTGTTTATGTAGACTTGCATTTGATTGACTATTATAAATATAGAATACCTATACTACAGGTATTCGAATGAACCACTTGACCGATTTTTCCTTTCTAAAGAAATGGGCGTGTCACCGTATGACAATCAACGTTCTAAAGATAGCCCAAAACGTTAAAATTAAAACGTTAAATTTAACCACTTCAATGTGCGCTTCATTGTATTTGATAAATATAATTTCCAATGAAATTGACGGTCTACATAAACACCGAGTAAGCACGTGTTCGACTGATACATGTGCTATGCTAATAAACATGATAAAATCATAATTATGTACAAATTTGCAATGCGTGTTTTACATAAGCGGGAACTCTATATATAGCATTTTCTTATTTAACAATCTTTATTTTGGTGTATCTCATGTTGCTTGTCGCGGAAAGTGTAGTGTCCGAAAACATTACGACGAATATTCCTTTCTCGTTTCTAAAGAAATGGGCGTGTCGTTATGTTATAATTTATGTTCAAAACATGAGTCAGAACGTTTCATCCAAATGAAAATTTTACCACTTCAATGTGCTTCATTGTAATGCCACGCCCATTTCTTTAGAAACGAGAAAGAAATATTTGCGTAATGTTTTAGGACACCCCACTTTCCGCGACAAGCAACACGAGTTTCACTGAAATGAAGATTTTCAAATAAGAAAGAGCTATATATAAAGTTCTCGCTTCTGAAAACATGCATTGAAACGAATTTGTACATAATTATGATTTTATCATGTTTATTGGAAATAGCATAACACATGAATCAGTCGAACACGTGCTTACTCGGTGTTTATGTAGACCGTCAATTTGATTGGCTTTTATATTTATGGAATACCTGTTCTACAGGTATTCGATTGAATCATTTGACCTAATTTTCCTTTCTAAAGAAATGGGCGTGTCTAAATATCGGTCAAAACGTTCCATCCAAACGGAAAATTTTACCACTTCAATGCGCTTCATTGTAATATTTAAGAAATATGACATATAAAACTATATTTGTGCTTTTGCAATTCTTTGCTTTTCTCAGACTTTGGCTGTTTTTGTCAAGTGCATCTTATTAAACTTCTCAGATAGGTCTAATTTAAAGTAGAAATTTTTATCCCGAAAAAGCATATTTAGATACCAATGTTTATTAATATGATATGAAATTAGAAGTAATTTATGGAGCTTTGAAAATAACCTTGAAGCACATTGAGAGGCATATAATGAAAATTGTTGCATGAAAATATTTAATTTTCAAGCTTCATTTAAAGACTTTGTGAATTGAATTATAAATTAAAGAGTTGTCCTTCCTGGCTGAGGGTCGGAGTCCCTTAAAGCAATGAATTCAAGTTTCACTCTCTGTTTCAATTTCAGACAAACTTGGATAACTTTAATTTTTGATTTTTTTTTAAATAATTGTTTAGATGTCGTTGTCACTCATTTTTTCAAAACACAGGGTGACCATTGAGTACTAAGCTTTTTACTGCTGAATGTTCTTTGAAACATTGTAAACTACCCCCGAATTGATGCTTATCAATTTTGCTATGTGTCTTAAGGTCAATCAAACATCATCGATGATAATTTGTTGAATTATAATTAACACTACATTGGTTGTTGTAAGTCTTTGTCGCCACGGACGGTACCCATTTTTGATGCCCATTATCATTATTGTTCATTGGAATCCACCTACTCATGAATGTATCTATAAAACAGACATTTCATTGCCGTTCACATCACAAATTTCAGTGAATATTTCTTTGAGATTCACGAGTTTTACAGCAGCTTCCATTAAGCGTTTAATTTAACTCTAGTTTACTGATTCTTTACCATTCATTTTTAATGCAGTATTTCGAATAGCCCTTGTTTTCCAGCTTCTCGCAATGAAACTATGTAATGAAAAGTGGTCTCATAAACTGTTATCAATTCATTAAAGTTTCAATAATGAGAGAAAGCAAAGCTTTATGTCATATGATTTTCAAATTGTATGTAATAGAGCTCGGGACATTATTTATTGAACAGCCCTCGTATCATCATTTGCAGATCTTTTTTTTATAGATAATAGCAAAATTTGGATGTGTCAGAGAATATCATGCAGTCCTAATGAAAAAAGGTTTAGGGCTGAAAAGTGTTCGATTCCATTGACTCCTTATTGTTCCAACAATCACAGTGAGTTTTTAAAAGCTTTTTTTTTAAAGCATACTTTAATATGGTACGCTGTGGAATTAAGAAAGGAAGAAAACAGTTGAAGATTAAATCATGGAACGATCACATATATAATTTTTTCTCGACTTACAGCTGGTACAGCGAGAAATTGGACGGAAGCTAATGCGATGTGTTTGAAAGGAAATGGTCAATTAGATGGTAATGCTAGTTTAGATGATACGACGAGCAAATGCAATGAGATACTGATGCGAATTCCAAATACTTACGCATTTTGGCTTGGCATCCTTAGACAAGTATTCAAAACTATAGATAAAGGTATAAAGCACACCTGTTTGATAAAATGATTCACATTTATTTATTGAATATTTTCATGGTTATTAATATGACTAGGTTGCACATTAAGAAACACTGCGATGTTCTTTTTCAGGGTACCCAACTGAATTAAATTCTTTAAAGCAGTGTGAGTTTTTCAACAGACAAAAAAACATGACGGAGCAAACAAACACATGCAGGAAGGAAATGTTCGTTGTTTGTCTAGTAAGTTTATCTTAACCAAGGAATGAAAGATTGAGATTGGGTACCTTCATGTATTTTTTAATTGCCCGTTTATATTAGACATCATTTTGGCGTAAATGCATGTAATGTGAAGTTTTCTTCAATGCCGATTAGAAAAAAAACTAACGTGTCACATCTATTGTTTTGTTTTAATCTTATTTTATTGAAGTTCCTTGATATTGTGCAAAAATATTTCAAATACATGTTTAATAAAGGACTATATAATAAATCACAAATTATTCAGTACCTATTCATACGTACGTACCTTTATCAGAATGATTATCAATAGAAGATACTTTTATCATTGACCTAGGTATCCAACAACGCAAGTACTTTTGTTGTACAGATGGAAGATCAACCAGCTGTTGAAGAGAGTGGGAGTGATAGTACATATACTCCATTTTTCTTTCTCTTCAGAATAAAAACAACAAAATTATCGAAAACCTCATGCAATTTCAAATTCTTGAAAACACCTTTTTTCCATTTTAATTGAATCTTTTGTATCAATGTTTTTGTTTTCATTATTTACAGATGACATTGGTTCCGTGGTGGGTGGGGTGTTCGGAGGACTGTTTCTAATAGCAATTTTCCTTCTCCTGACAGTCATTATCGTAAGGTATAAAATCTAATATAGTTTATCTGACAGCATCTTCGCTAGCCAAGAGTTTCTGATGAGGAGAGTAGCATATCAAAAACCCTTGGCTAACGAAGATGATCTGACAGCAAAAAAAAAATGTTATTAACTGAGTATTGTCCTTTACACGGACTTGTATTAGATATAAAATGAAATGTATAGTTTTTTTTAAAAGAAAGGTTTTTACAATTATATTTTGTCTGTTTGTTCAACTCCTAAGGTATATTTATTGATCCATATCAAAAGATAATTTCAAACCACTATTTTTTCACAGGCGACGTAAAAAAGGAAGACAAGAAGATCAAAACAACCTGAAGTTTGAAAGTGAAACACCCACATCCATCAGTGAATTAAAGGTTAATCAAACAAATGATAATGGCTTCAGCAGGTACCCAGAGATGAATTGCACAGACACAAAAGAAGATACATATTACAAAAGCCAAGACGATTATGATATTCTTGGTAAAAGACGATCAAAATTAAAAGGAACTCAATCTGAAAATATCTATAATCACGCTGGGAGTACCACCAACCAAAATCATTATGCAAGTGCTGCTCAAGTTTCAAAAAGGATTTCTGGAGAAGACTTGTATGATCATACGAACAAGAGTGAATATGGAACTGTGTCAGAGATAGAAAATGACAATATGTACAGTGAAAGCTGACCATAAGAGTAGAACTTTATCACTCTTAGCTTTAACACAGATCTCCTCATCATTTGTTTAAAGCAAATGTTTACCTGTTTCACTCATCCATCCTGATCAAGACTTGTGCATAATTTTATGGATGAATGAACAAAGAAATTCATTTCTCACTGAAATCCATGTCACGCTGTGCCATTGAAAATGAATCATTAAATTGACAAATAGAGTTAACAGGTTAAATATACCTTGATACTTCACTGAAAAATTTTTACAATAACATATATGCCCAAAATGATCTACCCTGTTTACAGTAAATGCTATATGTATTGTTTCATTTTGCTGTATAATATATGAATCTTTTAAAAGTAGGTGTTTACCGTATATACTCGCCTATAAGTCGGTATTTTGGGAGTTAAATATTGGTCTAAAACTCTATGTCCGACTTATAGGCGAGTCATAAAGAGATTGGTATTTTTCTGGAGGCTAAAAGGTAGTTTCTTATTTGCATGTCCGTCGATTATCAAAGAAAGTATCTGGATATATAAGATTATTTATGTATTCTTAGATTATATATAAAAAGTACAAGTATTTGCACATTTTAATACTTTTTGTAACAAGTCGAGCGGACCCTTGTCACAAAATAAAAACTCCATTGTCAGGCATAACAAGTTTTTATTGAGGATGGCAACAATCAAACAACAACAACAAATGAGATGCTGACCATTCAGACAATCAATTGACCCGAAAAAGGGGGGGGGGGGTGAACTTGTCCTGACTACACTTAATACAGTTTATTTATTTATTCTAGTATCTGCAAACAACCTTAGCTGTCGGACTCGAAGTGAAATAACTTTGCGGAAATACTTGCGTTAAAATAAATAATTATGAATTCATTTTAACATGCGTCAATCCGGACAGTCCCTAAATATCTATATTCTAAATCTGTACTAAATATCTCCAGCAATCAACTTTATTACTGCCTAACTTACAAAGATACTATGCGTAAATTATCCCGAACATATGAATATTCCTAAAATGACTTTATTTTCAGCTTAAGCAAATCCGAACAAATACTGCCAAATCCGGACAACCCATTCCGGACAAGAATAACCTATGTGAACTTGACTGTATGAACTATTCTGGACATCCGAACAAAGGATCCGGACAACTATCAAAATATAATTCTGTCTTAAAACATTTCTGTGACGTCATCTTTTGTTAAACCTGGTTCAATAAATTTGTTATTGTCCTGCACCCCGTCCAATAAGTTACCTGTAGGTGTCCAATAAGTTTCAACTTATTGGACAGGTACAGGTAACGTTAAAATGAGAACAAAGAGCGAGGCAAATAAGTAAACAGCACTTAAAGGCAATGAAAAATCTAACAATTTAATATGAACAGGGTAGGAAAATAGTAGCGTTAAATGTTAGTATTTCACAAAAAAATCCTATTGAAAATGGCACAAAAAATCCAGTGAATTGAATGTCTCAGATTCATTACTGTAGACGCGCATCCGTGGCTCCGATCATAAAGTTCCTGAATTCACCGTTCATTGCTATATAATAGATTCATTTCCCAATGCTTGATTCACGGAACATAAAATAGAATCCAATGGACACAAAGAATTAATGAGAAGAATGCGTTTTCTTAAACACAACCTTGAGCTTTTTGTTTATTGAAATATCCATTTTTCCGCATTAAGCACAAAATTTCGCTCACGAAATTCCAACAGAATCCGTAATTTCATCAGTGGTTTATTACCATTTGTCCACCTAGTCCTGCGTCGTTTGAGCGAGTGTCTGTCGTTGTTTTAAGGAGTGGCTGGGGTAAAATCCTTCCGAGTTCGAAACCTGCACACAAAAGAGAAAGTGTTGCATTTAAAAAAAATACACCAGAAATAATCTCCCAATTTCAAAGAAAATGCTAAAACAGTTGTAGGATTAAAATACTTCAAATCCTATTGCTTTACAAAAATTACCTGTTAACGGGAAACTCCGAAACATAAGAATATTATCCGGATTTCATAGTAAAAACTTGAACTGAGGCATCTTGGTGTAATCTGTAAGTGGCATCGTCAAAACACCCGATTCTGAAGGTATTTTTTTTTAAATCAAAATGCACGTCGTCATCCGTTGTCGTTGCGTTGTAAAATGAATAAATTGTCAAGAATTTTGTAGAACTGACTTTTACGCATGCGTAGTTTAGATAAAAAAGTCGCAATGCGGACAAATAAGACTAAACAAAGTTAATGTTCATATTCATCGATATAAAACACCTCTCGATGATTCCTACAATTAATTAAATCAGAAGAAAAACCAAAACTGGTTTTCTTTGGCCTAACTTGATGAACAGTACCAGGTAGTCATT